ACATGGCCCGATCCCGACCCTCCAGAGCTACCACGGCCCGCTCCTGACCCCCCCGAGCTACCACGGCCCGATTCCGACCCTCCAGAGCTACCACGACCCGCTCCTGACCCTCCCGAGCTACCACGGCCCGCTCCTGACCCTCCCGAGTTAACACGGCCCGATCCCGACCCTCCCCCGACCTACCACGGCCCGATCCCGACCCTCCCCCGAGCTACCACGGCCCGATTCCGACCCTCCCCCGAGCTACCACGGCCCGCTCCTGACCCTCCCGAGCTACCACGGCCCGCTCCTGACCCTCCCGAGCTACCACGGCCCGCTCCTGACTCTCCCGAGCTACCACGGCCCGCTCCTGACTCTCCTGAGCTACCACGGCCCGCTCCTGACCCTCCCGAGCTAACACGGCCCGCAACTGACCCTCCCGAGCTAACACGGCCCGCAACTGACCCTCCAGACCACAGCCATGTGGCCCTGCTCTCATCTCTCGGGTCCTCCTAGGGCGTCTCTATCCATGCTGAACAGAGAGGACTGGTCGGATTACCCACGTTTTCCCCTGACTCTTCACACCTTCTCACACCACAACACTTCCATCTGGAGGCCTCTTGTCTCCGCCTGAAATGCATATTCAGAATGCTGGTGGCAAACTCATGTCTTTTTCTGAAAATGTCTTTCTTCCAGCATAATCTAAAGACAACCTCATGGTGTCGTCGCTCTCTGCAGTTAGGCGCTGGTGCCACCACCTCTGCTCCTGCGCAGATTTCAGCTCATGGCCGGCAGGATTCTCGCTCCTGAGCGATCCGTCTCTCCTCTTGGTTAGACTGAGGATCTTCTCTGTCCCTGTCATTCTGGAATTTCATTATGATGTCACCTACGGTACACTTCTTCCGTGTTCCCAACTTCTAATTCTGATACAATTTCAAACTCACAGGGTAACTGCCAGCATAGTCCAAGGAGCTCTCACACGCGCATTCCCAGACTCACCGCCTGCTCCCGTCTGCCCCCACCTAGACCTGTGCGTGTGCGGCTACTGAGGGGGAGGCAGAGACTTCGGGGCCCTGGGCCCTCAATACCTGCGTATATTTCCTGAGAACAAGGATCTCTTGTGCAGCCACAGAACGACTCACATCAGGAAATTGTCATCACATACTGTTCTCTAATCCATTGTCCATATTCAAATGTATGAACTGTCCCAGTGAGAGCCATGATTGCAAAAATTTTTTTTTTTTTTTTTTTTTTGTTTTTTGAGACAGTCTCACTCTGTGGCCCAGGCTGGGGTGCAGTGGTGCAATCTTGGGCTCTCTGCAACCCCCGCCTCCCGGGTTCAAGCGATTATCTTGCCTTGGCCTCCCGAGTAGCTGGGAGTACAGGCACGTGCCACCATGCCTGGCCAATTTTTTTGTATTTTTCGTAGAGATGGGGTTTCATCATGTTGGCTGGGCTGGTCTCGAACTCCTGACCTCAGGTGATTCACCCGCCTCAGCCTCCCAGAGTGCTGGGATTACAGGCGTGAGTCACCATGCCCAGCCTGCATTTTTTTCTGATGCAGGATCCAGCCCAAGACTGTGGTGCATGCAGCTGCCTTGCTCTTCAGCTTTTGTCCCCATTATGACAGCAGCAGGCCGCGCACAGCAGCTCACGCCTGTAATCCCAGCACTTTGGGAGGCCGAGGTGGGCCGGTCACCTGAGGTCAGGAGTTCGGGGTCAGCCTGGCCAACATGACGAAACTCCATCTCTACTAAAAATACAAAAATTAGCTGGGTGTGGTGGTGGGTGCCTGTAGTCCCAGCTACTCAGGAGGCTGAGGCACGACAATCACTTGAACCCAGGAAGTGGAGGTTGCGGTGAGCCGAGATCGCGCCACTGCATGTGGAGGTTGCGGTGAGCCGAGATCGCGCCACTGCATTCCAGTCTGGGTGACAGAGGACGACTCCGTCTCAAAAAACAAAAAAAAGATGCAGCAGCTTCTCAGCCTGTCTGTATTTTTCTTCGCCTTGACATTTTTGGAGCTTGTGGGTCAGGCATTCCGTAGGCTGTCTCTCCGTGTGTATCTGTTTTCTCATGAGTAGAGTCAGGCCATGAACTGTTGGAAGACCACCACAGAACTCGTGCTCACTACATCAGGAGGCTCAAGCGGGAGGTCTGTCCCGAGCCTGACGATGTGAAGATGGATCGCGGGGTTAAGGACGCACCTGCCAGCTTTCCCACCACAGCTATGACTTAACGTCTGTAATGGCCGCGTGGTTTGCAGGGATGCTCTGAAGCCAGTCTGAGCACCTGCTCATGACTCTGACCCCATCATTCCTCCCATGCTTTACTTCTCTCTATGCATTTATTTAACATAAATGAGTAACATGAAATACATGCTGACAGGTATAGACTCACAGGTTTTATTTACTTGAGTGATGGCCCATGACTATCACTGTTTATTTTGAGCTAAAAGCCGCCCCAGACGCAGGCAGCAGGGTCTTCATCCAGGCTGGGGCCTGTCAGGGCCTCGCACTGCGGACCACTCTTTCCTCAGTCCTGAAGGTTCTCAGTCTCTCTCTTCTCCTTCCAGACCTCAAATAGATGTGTTCGACTCTCGTGCTTCCTGAATAATTCTCTCTTCAGCTATGGCTAATCCGCTAAAGACCTATCCACTAAGTGTTGAATTTCAATCCTAGCTGTAGTCGTGTTTCTGCTCACGCTCTCTTTCTTTTTTTGAAGAAGAAGAAACTGGGGTCTCAGTATGTTACCCAGGCTGCGCTGCTCTTGAACTCCTGGGCTCAAGCAATCCTCCTCCCTTAGCCTCCCAAAGTGTTAGGATTGCAGGTGTTAAGCCATGGTGCCTGGCCTCTTTTATTTCTTAAAATAAATTATTAAATATAATGATTTTATCTTCTAAGACTTAAAATCCCAACAGCCAAGGCTGCTGCAGGGCCGACCGCTGCCTGCGGCTTCTGTGCGTGCTCCAGGAGCACTGCTTCTTCTGTGTCCAGGGTTCTGCGGAAATTACTTGAAACCTGAGACAAAGGTGAATTCTTCCAAAAAGTATTTTTTGTTTGCTTCTGTCAGATTCCTGGGGGAACTGCCAGCTGGGAGCCATTGATAACTAAACTCTCAGCTTGAGGCCTTCAGACCATCCAGACCACCTAGGAATCCTCAAGGGGGTGTCCCCTTCCCTGTGCCAGGGACAGGAGGTATGGGAGTACGTGGTGGACTCACCCCTGGAGGTGCCAGCTTTGGAGGGACAGTCCCCACCCCCTACCCAGCACATACACCTAGAGGAGGCCTGGGCTTTGTCTTCTGATCTCCAGCCCTGCGAGGCTGGGAAAACCAAGCTCAGGCCAAGGCTCTCAGGGCAAAAGCTGGGCACAGCACCCCACTGGCCTCTCAATTCTGTCACCATTAGGTCCCCAGGCCTCAGCACTTCCTCTTTCTTAGCCAGTGTGAGGCAGCATCTGTAAGATGCTTTATGGAAATGTCTTCACCGGCATTTTCCGCTGTTCCGGCACAGGTGAGCCTGGGTACCTGACCTATCAATGTTGTCAGAAAGAGAAGACTTTTCCCACTCATCCTGCTCCTTACCCAGGAGGCAGCCTTTTTTTGAGCAGCTCTCACTGGATCTGCTGGGTAAAGCTCCTTGTCCAGGAGCGGCAGCCTCCTCCGCACGGCAGGAGGGCCTCCCAGCCTCCCTGCCACAGCGCACTGTGGCCACAGCACATTCCTCTTCCTGAAGGTTCTTCCCGCGCCTCCTCCACTCTCCCCAGCCCTGGAGACCCTGCCTCAGGATACACTCAGCACAGCTGCACCCCCAGAGCAGTCACAGACGCCATGAGGCCTCTCTCCTGGGCCCTGAATGCAGCCTGTGCTCACCTGAACACATTTCACATTGATGCCAGGACACACAAACTTCCTCCAGATGAGGTTGGCTCTGCTGTCCCCACAGGTGATGGGGTACACAATCTCAGCCTCCAGGTTCTCCCCCTCTTCAGCCATCTTCACTTCTCACAGGCACATTGACAGGGAAGGGTAAAAGCAGAAAATCAGTTACAACCTCGTCAAAGCATTTCCTGAAAATGCAGAAAATAGCTGCCAACCTGGAAACCCAAAATTAAAATCCAGGAAGGCCTGAGATACAGCCAAGGTGGGCAGGGCATGCCCATCAGTGCCGTTCGAGTTTCAGGGTTAAACTCACTGAGCAGATTTAAATATCGTTACATTCACAGAACCCATTAAACTATGGTTCAACTGAAGAGCCACTTAGGAAAACAAAATCAAACTTTAATTGAAACAATTCTAGGGAAACCTAAGGTTTTAAAGGTTCTAGGGCCTTTAATCTCAGGCAAAAGAAAAATATTAAGAGTGTTACAAAGAATTTTTGTAATCCCAGCACTTTGGGAGGCCGAGGCGGGCAGATTACGAGGTCAATAGATCGCGACCATCCTGGCCAACATGGTGAAACCCCATCTCTACTAAAAATACAAAAATTAGCCAGGCGTGGTGGTGGGTACCTGTAGTCCCAGCTACTCGGGAGGCTGAGGCAGGAGAATGGCGGGAACCCGGGAAGTGGAGCTCGCAATGAGCTGAGATCGCACCACTGCACTCCAGCCTGGGTGACAGAGCAAGACTCCATCTCAAAAAAAAAAAAAGAATTTTTACTGGGCCAGGCGAGGTGGCTCACACCTATAATCCCAGCACTTTGGGAGGCCCAGGTGGGTGAATCACCTGAGGTCAGGAGTTTTACACCAGCCTGGCCAACATGGCAAAACCCCATCTCTACTAAAAACACAAAAATTAACTGGGCATGGTGGTATGTGCTTGTAATCTCAACTACTTGGGAGGCTGAGGCAGGAGAAGAGCTTGAACCTGCAGGACAGAGGTTGCAGTGAGCCGAGATCATGTCATTGCACTCTAGCCTGGGCAACAGAGTGAGACTCCGTCTCAAAAAAAACACCTTTTTTACTGGCCAGGCTCAGTGGCTCACACCTGTAATCCCAACACTTTGGGAAGCTGAGGCTGGAGGATCACGTGATGCCAGGACTTCAAGATCAGCCTGGGCAATAGTGGGACCCTATTTCTTAAAAAAAAAAAAAAAAAAGGATTCTTAATTAGCTGGGTGTGGTGGCACATGCCTGTAGTCCCGGCTACTCAGGAGGCTGAGGCAGGAGGATCTTCTGAGCCTGTGAAGGCTGTGGTCAAGGTCAAGGCTATGGTGAGTGGCGACTGTGCCACTGCACTCTAGCCTGGGCAACAGAACAAGACCCTGTCTCAAAAAAACCAAAAAAACAAAACAACTTTTTTTACTACTATTCACTGACCTTTATAATAAACAGACACAGGCAAACAAGAAACAATGAGAAGAAAACAAAATCCGAAAGAGAGAGCTGCAAACTTGGGGCCAAGTGACTTTGCTCTCCTATTAGCCACGGGCAGAGAAAGTGCTGTCATTACAGACACATGGCAGGCCCCACCTGGGGGCCCTGGGGCCTGGCCTCTCACTCCTAAGGGCACACGGCTTGGGAATCGGCCCAAATAAAGACCTTGTATATCTCTGGCTGTTCCTCATTTTGAGTGCAGGACTGTCCTGTCCCTGCTATGTCAAGAAGGCAGACTTCCCACCTAGGACGGCTTCCTACCTAACACGGCTTCCTTGAGCTGGGAGGAGGCTGTGAAGGCCGCGGCAGCTGCCGCCGCTGCATTTTCTGTCTCCATGTTATCTTCTGTCAGGTCGCCCCTGGTGAGGTGAAGTGAGGAGAGAACAGAATCAGGATCTTGGAGGGCACAACCTGCAGGGCACTATTTTCCTGACAGCGCTTTGCTGACTTGTTACACTTTTCTAATTTAAATCAGAAATGGCAGAGAGGCCGGGTGCAGTGGCTCACACCTGTAATCCCAGCACTTTGGGAGGCTGAGGTGGGAGGGTCACCTGAGGTCAGGAGTTCAAGACCAGCCCAGCCAACACAGTGAAACTCCATCTCTACTAAAAAAAATACAAAAATTAGCTGGACATGGTGGTACATGCCTGTAGAAGCTGGGGTAGGAGAATCGCTTGAACCTGGGAGGCGGAGGTTGCAGTGAGCCAAGATCACACCACTGCACTCCAGCCTTGGTGACAGAGCGAGTTCCCGGGTTCACGCCATTCTCCTGCCTCAGCCTCTCGAGTAGCTGGGACCACAGGTGTCCGCCACTGAGTGTTTTCTTAAACGGCAAAAGAAAACTGACACAACTGTAAACAGAGCAAGCAAGAGAACTTGGCGATTATTTCCTCTCTACTTCTCACTGTTCTTAAAAGAGTCAACTTAAGCATAAGATGTGAGCAAATTCTTTTAACATCCCAGAAAAAAAGCTCATATTCAGTGTCCGTAAAGCAAAGCTAACCCAAAGGAGCCACCTTCCACAATAACCACAGGAAACCAAGGAGCAAACGGGACACCAGCCTCCAGGGCCCTGCGCCAGCCGTGCTCCTGTATCTGCGACTGCCCTGGTTTGTCACTGCCACCAGCCGGCAAGACACCCACAGAGGACAGCTCTAAGCCACAATTGTGTACGAAGACAACCGTGCAGGATTTTATTACTACAATGTTTTTGTTTTCTTTTTTTTTTTTTTTTTCCGGCTTGGAATCGCCCAAAATACCAGACCACTTGTAATCTGCCGCTCGTCCTCCATTTTCGACGTGCAGGGCGACTGTCCTGCTTCCTTTGCTCCTCGTCAACACACGCGCACACTCCACGTACGGCAGCTTCCTACCCTACAGACACCGCGCTTCCTTGAGCTCGCGGCAGGGGGCTTGACGGCCGCGGCAGCTGCCGCCGCTCGCACTTTTCTCGGTCTCCATGCTTTCTTTCGTCCAGGACTACGCCCCTGGTGAACCCGGACGTGAGAACGAACACGCAATCGGATCCTTCGGGGGCACAACCTGCCCGGCACTACTTCTTCCTGACAGCGCTTTGCTCGCACCTTTTCGTACTTTTTCACATAAATTCCAACAACAGAGAGCGCGTGCGGCTCCCCTTATCCAGCCTTTGGCGGAGGCTGAGTGGGCACACAGGGACTGACGGTCGGTTCAAGACCCAGCCCAGCCAACACACCAGTGAACTCCACTCTCTACTACAACAAAACTACAATCCAATTAGCTGGACACTCGGTGGATACACATGCCTGCCTAACGATACGCCTGGGTAGGAGGAATCGCTTGACCTCGGGAGGCGGAGATTCGCAGTGAGCCAAGATCAACACCACTGCACTCCAGCCCTGTGACAGAGCGACTTCCCGGGTTCAACGCCATTTTCTTCCTGGCTCATGCCTCTCGAGTCATGGCCCACCGTGTCGCCTGAGTGTTGTCTTAAACGCAAAAGAAAAACTACACAACATGTGAAACGATGCAAGCAGAGACTTGGCGATTCATTTCCTCTCTACTTCTCACTGTGTCTTAACAGAGCAACTTAAGCATAAGATGTGAGCACATTCCTTTTAACATCCCAGAAAACTCCTCTTCAGTGTCCGTACCCCAAGCAACCCAACCGCCCACCTTCCACCATAACGCGCCAACGGCCCAGCTCCGGCTGCGCCACGCTCGGTCTGTCATCTGGTTGCCTGGTTTTCGCCACCCGCGCACACACCACCGACGACACACCACACCACATCATAGTCCCCGACACACAACACAACTCTCACCACACATCAACGCTATTCTATCTTTTTTTTCTTTCTTTTTTTGCGCCCACGTCCTCTCGTCCCAGGCTGGATCGTGCACAACGGTCTGTCTCCTCTCCGTTCAACAGCAATTCTCCTGCTGCAGACTCCCAATGCTGTTACAGGTGCCGCCACCACAGACTGCATAATTTTTTTTTTTTTTCTTGACAGGCGGAGTTCCTCGTCGCCCAGCGCTGGAGACTGCGTGGCCGATCTCAGCTCACTGCCGCTCCGCCTCCAGTTTCCGCCCTTTCCGTCCGCCGCGTAGCCTGGGACTACAGGGCCCCTCCCGCCCTAGATTGTATTTTTTTAGTACAAGACGGCGTTTCACCGTGCTTCGCCCGCGCATGGTCTTGCCTGCTGCGTGCTGAACACATCTCGCCTCCCCAAACGTGCTGAAGATTACAGCTTTGACCACCGCAGCCGGCCAGCGGCTAATTTTTGTACTTTTAGTAACGAGACGGGGCATTTTACATGTGGCCAGACTGTCTCAAATTCCTGACAACAGTGATCCACCCGCCCGGACCTCACCCAAAGTGCTGGGATTTACAGGGTGAGCCGCCGCGCCCGGCCCAGTTTTGTTTTCTTTTTTTTTTTTTGAGAGGAGTCTCCTACTGCTCCGCCCAGATCTGGATGCAGTGGCCGGATCTCACTCACGCAACCTCCGCCCGCCCCGGGTTTACCACCATTCTCCTGCTTACCTCCGGAGTAGCTGGGACTACAGGCGCCGCCACCTTGCCTGGCTAGTTTTTTTGTTATTTTTTGAGTAGAGACGGGGTTCACCGTGTTATGCCAGGATGGTCTCAATCTCCTGACCTCGTGATCCGCCCGTCTTGGCCTCCCAAAGGGTGCTGGGATTTACAGGTGGAGCGCCGCTGCCCG